AGTACCACTACAACAAGTCTAAGTACTAATTTCCAAGGTGGAGAGGTTTTATTATCTACAGCATTGGTGGATGTTATAAGTCCGAGTGGAATTAAATACACGTGCAGGGCATTCTTAGACAATGGCAGCCAATCTAACTTCATGACAGAAAATCTCTGCCAAAGGTTAAAACTAAAGAAAGAAAATTCAAATGAATTAGTAACAGGTATTAACGAAGGAACAACTAAAACTACAAACAAGGTACAAGCAACATTTCAGTCAAGAAATTCTAATTACAAAGCAACTGCAACATTTTTGGTTCTTCCTAAAATAACAGGGTTACTTCCAACACACACTGTTAATACAAGTCAATGGGATATCCCTGGAAATATCACTTTGGCAGATCCCACATTCTGCAAACCATCTAAAGTTGATATTTTGTTAGGACAAGAGTTTTTCTTTGATCTATTGGAAGATGGAAGGATAAAGAATCAAAATTCACCAGTACTTCAGAACACAAAGCTCGGCTGGATAGTTGGAGGCAAAGTACACCATCAAAAGTCATCAACTGAAACGTCTTGTCATCTAACTACACTGGAAAGCCTTGATAAGAATATTCAAGCATTCTGGAAAATTGAAGAAGAACCTATAAAAAAGGCGACAATGACATCAGAAAATAAACTATGTGAAGAAATGTATGACAATTCAGTTCAAAGAGGCGATGATGGGCGCTACACTGTCAAAATGCCTCTGAAGCAAGATCCAAGTTCCCTAGGAGATTCCAAAGAATTAGCAATCAAACGATTTTATCAAGTTGAAAGACGATTAAAAAATAACAGTGAACTGCAAAAACAATACAAATCCTTCATGCACGAATATGAGGAACTTGGACACATGGAAAAGGTTACTGCAAATGAAACTGACAAACCAGTGTATTATTTACCCCACCATCCAGTTATTAAGGAAGCCAGTTCAACAACTAAATTAAGAGTAGTTTTCGATGCTTCAGCAAAAACTACAACAGGGATATCTCTGAATGACTCGCTTATGGTTGGTCCGACTCTTCAAGATGATTTATTTTCTATCCTATTGAGATTCAGGATTCACACTTACGTTCTGACAGCAGACATAGAGAAGATGTATCGACAAATCTGGATCCATCCAAGTCAACGAGACATGCTAAGAATCCTTTGGAGAGAAGACAACTCAAAATCTGTCCTCATTTACAGGCTCAATACAGTTACGTATGGAACAGCATGTGCTCCTTACTTAGCAATCAAAACTATTCAACAATTGGCTCAAGATGAAAGATCACAATATCCACGAGCTTCCAATGTAGTGATGAAAGACTTTTATGTGGATGATGTATTGACAGGAACAGACGACATTAATGAAGCAAGGGTATTAAGAGATCAACTGGTCGGTATGTTAAAGTGTGGTGGCTTCAATTTGCGAAAGTTTAACAGCAACAGTAACGCACTTTTAGCAGAGCTTCCAGATGATATGGTGGAAAGAAAAGCACATAAACTTCCCAACTCTAATGATAGCACAATCAAGACCTTAGGCATTTTTTGGGAATCTGACAAAATAAAGTACAAGTACATGTTATCAACAGATAATAAGGCAGCTTCTACAAGTGTAACAAAGCGAACTGTGCTCTCAGACATAGCAAAACTGTTTGATCCTTTAGGAATCATTTCTCCAATTATAATAAATGCTAAAATACTCATGCAAGACCTGTGGAAACAAAATATGAAATGGGACGATGTACTCCCAGAACAATTACACAAGAGATGGCTACAATTCAAACAGGATTTAACTTTGCTCAACAATTTTAATGTATCAAGATGTGTAAGAATGATCCAAACAGAGGGAACTTTTGAACTTCATGGTTTTTCAGATGCTTCTGAAAAGGCATATGGAGCAGCAATTTACTTGAGACACGAACTAAGCGATGGAACTGCTAAAACTACTCTTCTCTGTTCAAAATCTCGTGTAACACCACTGAAAACACAGTCACTTCCAAGATTGGAATTATGTGGAGCTCTACTCCTAACTGAGTTAATGTCAAATGTCAAAACCGCTCTTATCAACAAACATATTGAAAGGGTTACATACTGGACGGACTCTACAATTGTTTTATCCTGGTTAAATGCAGATGCAGCATGCTGGAAAACATTCATTGCAAATCGTATTGCAAAGATCCAGGATCTAAGTGATTATAAAGATTGGAGACATGTGCCAAGTCAAGACAACCCCGCAGATCTCGTATCCAGAGGTTTAACAGTCGACGAAATCATAAGATCTGATTTGTGGAATTCAGGGCCATATTGGTTATCGTTAGAACCTTGCAACTGGCCAATTACTTCCATAACACCTTCAACTGACATTCCAGAAAGAAGAAAGTCCACAGTTTCTGCTGCAATAGTTCAATCAAATGAAAAACAAACAGATAATGACTATATACTGAAGAAGTTTTCCAAGTTACAGAAACTGATTCGTGTCACCGCATATTGTTTGAGATTTATAAAAAATTGTAAAACTCAAGATTCAAAGATTGCAGGACCTCTAACACACGATGAATTAAACCACAGTCTTAAGCATTGGATAAAACATGAAAAGAAACGTTTCTTTCCTCAAGAACTACAATCATTGTCAAACTCAAAACAAATTCACAAGAAAAGCAAACTAATAACACTTCATCCATTTAAGGATGATGAAGGAATCATTCGAGTAGGCGGTCGACTAGCCAACGCAAAGTTAGATCAAAGTCAAAAACACCAAATTGTATTGCCTGCTAAATCCTATTTCACTCATTTAATAATTGAAAATGAACATATTCGCAATCTCCATGTGGGTCCTCAAACACTTCTATACATCATAAGACAACAATATTGGCCACTAAATGCCAAGAACATTATAAGGAAAATCATCCATAAGTGCATACCATGTTTTAAAACAAAGCCGAAATGCACACAACCTGAAATGGGAAACTTACCTGCACATCGAACGAATCCATCACAGCCTTTTGAGATTACAGGAGTTGATTATTGCGGACCGATATATTTACGGTCAAACCGCCTTCGAAAGTTTTCATTAATTAAGGGCTACATTGCAGTCTTTGTTTGCTTTACCACAAAGGCTATTCATTTGGAATTAGTATCCAACTTAACAACTGACGGCTTTTTAGCAGCATTCAAGCGCTTTACATCTCGAAGAGGCTTATGTAACCACATATATTCCGATAACGGAACAAACTTTGTTGGAGCCAATAACGAAATAAAGGAACTTTACTCCCTTCTTAAAAGTAATGATCATCAAGAACAAATCATAAATGCTACATCTTTTCAAGGCATCAAATGGCATTTCTCGCCTCCAAATTCACCCCATTTTGGAGGGCTTTGGGAATCCGCAGTTAAGTCCGTAAAGCAGCATTTAAGGAAGGTTGTGGGAAACGCCAATCTCACATTTGAAGACATGTATACTGTGCTTACAATGATAGAGGCGTGCCTGAATTCAAGACCTATAACTCCTCTGTCATATGATCCTAAAGATCCCCTTCCTCTAACACCTGGTCACTTCTTAATTGGGAAAGCACTCACAAGTTTACCAGATCCAGATTATACATTTAAGCCAGAAAATCGTCTATCACAGTGGCAACGATTACAACAGCTTATGCAACACTTCTGGCGCCGTTGGTCAAAGGAATACCTCTCTCAATTACAACAAAGGCAAAAGTGGTTCACGACTGCCAATAATATCAAACCTGGTCAACTAGTCATAATCAAAGATGACAATCTACCACCTTTAAAATGGATTACTGCTATTGTTGAAGATGTGCATCCTGGACTTGATGGAAAAACTAGAGTGGCTACAGTGCGAACCTCTACAGGAACATTCAAGAGATCTGTAAATCGCCTGTGTGTATTACCAATTGAAAATTGAAAAGGCCAAAGACAATCGATAAGACATTTTTTGTAAATAGTTTATTTTTTGTTATATATTTATTGTTGTTTATATTTTGTTGAAAGTGGTACTTTCAAGGTGGGCGGCATGTTCAATCTCCTAACAGACTGTTTGTAAATTAACATATGATTGAATTTATATTTGTAAAAACACAAACAAAAACAGTAGGTATTGTATTTTTTAAAGTTTTACAAGCAAGTCATAAGTTAAATAAAGTTTCATTTTTTATATGATTTCATGCAGTTTTCTAATACAAACAATGTTGGACACTCGACATTGTACAATTTTTAATGCAACTATTGCCATATTTAATCAAATACATGTTATTTCGTTCCATGTTTTTCAAGAGAAACTTTTAGAACTAAGGACAAAAAATCAAAGAATTAGTAGGATTTTGTTTTTATACATAATTTGAAAGGTTATTAACTGAGACATGTTAATTGACACTCTCTACGGTCCAAAGTAGCATAGAACAGCCTACGTAAAGGTTCATGATCTTTTCTAAAAATCACAAAGTCAAACATTCATTGCAGAATACAGGACTACACAGGCCTTTAATCTAAATAAAATTGTACTATTCTTATTTGAAATTTAATGAGATTGATAATCTGAAATGACAATAAATATGAAATAAAAAACAATGTTTAATGAACTTATGGCCATTTTATTTGAGCAAATACAAATATTTCAAAAAAATTAGGGTGTGGAAACCTAAATTGTTGCCATTTTGTCACTAATACTTGGTAGGTAGTTTAACCACAAAAATTGTTTAACAATAGCCTAACTTCTATCCACCCCTTATAACCAAACAGTAAAGCACAAATCATGACATTAACCCAAAAATAAAAGTAACAAAGTTTCGTTGACACTAGCGATCAGTGTCAACAGATATGAACTAAACATGAAAAACAAACTTCATAATTTATAATGGGATGAGAAGTCTACTTGTGTTAGTCTACGTCTAGACCCATCTTACTAATATTATAATACTTTATAATCTTAAAAAGTTGAGTTGATGTATTTTAAGTTCATACGTAAAACAATCTTTTGTACAGGATCTGAAATTCTTCCAATCAAAGAAGACCAAGAGAGGACCTCTAGTTGAGGGGTGGAGGGAAAACACCAAACCCATCATGTGCTCATACAAGGTGGTCCAGGCTAACTTTGAGGTCTGGGGTCTACAGACCAAGGCTGAGGAGCTGATACAGAGGGTGAGTTTGTGTTACTGACTGGAGCTGTAAGTTGAGGGGTAGAGGGAAAACGCCAAACCCATCATGTGCTCATACCAGGTGGTCCAGGCTAACTTTGAGGTCTGGGGTCTACAGACCAAGGCTGAGGAGCTGATACAGAGGGTGAGTTTGTGTTACTGACTGGAGCTGTAAGTTGAGGGGTAGAGGGAAAACACCAAACCCATCATGTGCTCATACCAGGTGGTCCAGGCTAACTTTGAGGTCTGGGGTCTACAGACCAAGGCTGAGGAGCTGATACAGAGGGTGAGTTTGTGTTACTGACTGGAGCTGTAAGTTGAGGGGTAGAGGGAAAACACCAAACCCATCATTTGCTCATACAAGGTGGTCCAGGCTAACTTTGAGGTCTGGGGTCTACAGACCAAGGCTGAGGAGCTGATACAGAGGATGAGTTTGTGTTACAATACAATACAATACAATATTCTTTATTGTTAATTCGGCAAGAATTACAATAGTGTCAATACAATAGTGAATTGTACATGTTAATTTTCATAAAATTCCTTTATTGAGTAGAAGGGTCTTGCGATTAGCCACTTCTTCAACTCCTGGTGTAGCTTGTTGCCAGTCAGGTCTCTCAGGTAGTCAGGTAGATGGTTCCTCAGCTTGCAGCCAGTGTAGGAAGGTTTTTTCTCCCAAAGAGTTGTTCGGTGAACTGGTAGTGCAAATTTTGAGCCATGACGGGTGTTGTAGTGGTGCAGGTCTCGGTTTCTTGGGGGGTTTATTTCATTCACATACTTTATAGATTCAAGTATGTAGAGAGACACCACTGTGAGGATTCCTAGGTTTGCGAATGCTAGTCTGCAAGTCTGTGGTGGGACAAGGTTGGCGAGGGCTCTTATGGCTTTCTTTTGAAGGACAAGAATTCGATTCATATTTTTTGTTGAAGTTCCTCCCCACACTGTCAAGCCATATCTAAGATGCTACTCTACCAGTGCGAAGTAAGCTGTTTTGGCCACGGAGAGTCCGCCTATGTATGTAGTTTATTCTTCTGACGACATATATTCCAGTACTGATTTTTTTGCTTAAGTGGTTGATGTGCTCTTTCCATGTTAGTTTGTTATCAAGGATAACACCGAGAAATTTTGTGTGGTTTTCTATTGTTACATCCTCTAATTGAGGGACTATGTCTTTTTTCTTACTGAAATTCAGAGTTGTAGTTTTTGTGGGGTTTATTGCTAAGTCATTGTTCTTTGAGTAGAGGATAGCTTTATTTAGGATCGATTTTGAATTAAGGTAAAGGTTTTGGGCTGTGTTGTCCTTGATCAAAATGGTTGTATCATCTGCATACATGATTGCAACAGCATTTTCACTCTCAATTTGTTTGGGGAAGTCATTAGTCAATAAGATGAATAGAATCGGGCCTAATACAGAGCCTTGTGGAAATCCTCTCGTCAGCTTGCTTTTTGAAGATTTAAAAACTTTCTGTGACTTCATTTGATGAGTTTTTCAGTTCCACGACTTGTGAACGTCCCGTTAGGTAGCTTTTGAACCATTCTAGCGCAGAGTTTCTTATACCGAGTCTTTCGAGTTTCTTGCATATCAGGTAGTGGCCCAGGCAGTCAAAAGCCTTACTGTAATCAAGGAAGATGGCGGAAATGTATTGTTCGTTTTCTATCTGGTCTAGGACGTACTCAATTAGTGCTGTTATAGCTGAGGATGTAGATTTATTCTTCCGAAAGCCATGTTGGCTGTCAGTTAAGAGTTTGTTATGATTAAGATGTGCCATTAATCTAGCCAGAGCAATTTTTCTATGATTTTAGAGAAACTGGAGATGAGAGAGATGGGCCTGTAGTTTTGAGCATTTTCAGTTGGTCCTTTTTTATGTTTGGGGTATATTTTACTGACTTTTATGGCGGATGGGAATTTGCCTTCTTTAAATGATTTATTTATAAGATAAACCAGAGGAGAGATGAGTTCTTGAGAGCAGGTACTGACTGGTGCTGTAAGTTGAGCGGTAGAGGGAAAACACCAAACCCATCATGTGCTCATACCAGGTGGTCGAGGCTAACTTTGAGGTCTGGGGTCTACAGACCAAGGCTGAGGAGCTGATACAGAGGGTGAGTTTGTGTTACTGACTGGACCTCTAGTTGAGGGGTAGAGGGAAAACACCAAACCCATCATGTGCTCATACAAGGTGGTCCAGGCTAACTTTGAGGTCTGGGGTCTACAGACCAAGGCTGAGGAGCTGATACAGAGGGTGAGTTTGTGTTACTGACTGGAGCTGTAAGTTGAGAGGTAGAGGGAAAACACCAAACCCATCATGTGCTCATACAAGGTGGTCCAGGCTAACTTTGAGGTCTGGGGTCTACAGACCAAGGCTGAGGAGCTGATACAGAGGGTGAGTTTGTGTTACTGACTGGAGCTGTAAGTTGAGGGGTAGAGGGAAAACACCAAACCCATCATGTGCTCATACCAGGTGGTCGAGGCTAACTTTGAGGTCTGGGGTCTACAGACCAAGGCTGAGGAGCTGATACAGAGGGTGAGTTTGTGTTACTGACTGGACCTCTAGTTGAGGGGTAGAGGGAAAACACCAAACCCATCATTTGCTCATACAAGGTGGTCCAGGCTAACTTTGAGGTCTGGGGTCTACAGACCAAGGCTGAGGAGCTGATACAGAGGGTGAGTTTGTGTTACTGACTGGTGCTGTAAGTTGAGGGGTAGAGGGAAAACCAAACCCATCATTTGCTCATACCAGGTGGTCCAGGCTAACTTTGAGGTCTGTAGTCTACAGACCAAGGGTAGGGAGCTGATACAGAGGGTGAGTTTGTGTTACTGAATGGGGCTGTTAGTTGAGGGAAAAGGGAAAACACCAAACCCATCATGTGCTCATACAAAGTGGTTTAGGCTAACTTTAACTTACTTGGTAATGTAATTCATAACTAAAGACAAACTTTTAAAAGGTAGTTTTTAGCTCAGTATAAGGTCAGTTTTGTTGAGAACTACCAAAAATAGTTTTTTGCCATACTGCAGCAAAAATAGTTGTTTTTAGTACATGCATTACATGTCTAAAGTAGCATTTTAACTCTCCAGGGGGTAATAAGCCTTTTTAGTCCCTAGGGACAGGGAGTAAAAGTCAGCTGTTGTAATCAGTTGTACATTTATATTGTAAGCAATTACATTGGTCAAAATTATTTATCGACTGATTTTTTAGGTTTGGTTTTAGCATATTGTTACATTCTTGTCAATTATTGACAAGACAATTGATTGATAGTCTGACATATCGATGGTATAATACAGTAACACAATCGTAATAGACAAAATGTTTGGATTAAATCATTTACTAAACATTTGCTTATTTTCATTAGCAGAATTGAAATTAAGTTGAATTTGTTTTGAAAGGTTGTCTTTACATGAAAAGTATTTTGGCTTTCTAGCTTAGTTTCTTAATTAATGATGATTAATGACAAAAAATATAGTTTATCACAAAGTGTCTTTTCAATTCTCTCTTATTTTCTGGGGTTGAAAAGCGTCACTTTACACCCGACTGATAAAATATACTATTAAAGTGTTTTTCAAATTTTCAGTCAATCCGAGAAATCCTTTTGCTTGGTCATCGTCAAGCGTTTGCGTGGGTTGACGAGTGGTATGACATGACGTTGGCTGATGTAAGGATTTACGAGAGTGAGATGCACCGTCAGACCAATGTCAAAGTTACCGAGGACCTCCCTAGTGTTCCTACGACTCCAAAGACTCCTCCAAAGTCACCAAAGTCTCCCACCCAGACCACATCATCTTGGCTGTCATGGTCATAAATTTTAAATTTGCTTAGTTTTACTACATTTTAAATTGAAATAGTTTAAAATTGATTAAATGCATGTAAAAAACAGCAAGAAATTTTGATTTTGGTTAAAAATGTAGGTAAGTTAAAAATGGTTAAAAGGTTAAAAATGGTTAAGTAGTGATAAGTTAATAATAATATTGAATGTAATGCTAAGTTTTAGTTGGCTATTGTTTGTGTGCGTTTGCAATTAAATCACTATATTTATTTGAAATGGAACAGTTGACATCCAATTTTAAGTAAAAGGTCCTGTGTATTAAGTATTAGAAGATAATATTTATACTAAAGGTGGTATAGCTCAATATTTTATTGTTATCAAACAAATTTCATTTTTTACAATGTTCATATACAGTATAACAAATACTTGTAACAACTTTTAAGCAATCTTCATATTTTTATTCTAGGCTACTCACTTAAATATTAACTGTTAAATATGTATTTTCTGTTTTGTAAAAACAATAACTTTGAGTGAGTAGCTTATTTTTGTACACTGAAGTAAGTACAAATAAGAGTATTATTTTATTTTTAAGAATTAATTTCTTTTGTGAATTTCCCATATAGGGAATAAACTATTATTAACATATTTTATTAGCATTTGCTTAAGCTACTAATTCCAATAATATGGTTATCGTTTGATCGGCATTGCTGGAGTACCTGTTTTAAGGGGTTCTTTGTAAGCCGGGATGTTGAAATCTATTTTTTAGAATAACAATTTAGTCTACAAGCTTCAAAATTTTAGAGGTTGGAGGTGAAATTAGACCCAGAAGTGTATTATAGGCCATTTGAAAAATGATCCAGGCTAAAGAGGCAACTGATCTTAGTCAGTAACAGCTATCATATCATTCATTCATCACTCATCTCTGCTTAAACACCCTAGTGTATCAGAGTCTTATAAATCTAATATAATGTACATTTAGCTAGGTTAGATAACCCAGCTACTTCTACATTAGCGTCACAAATCTCAATCACAATGTCCCACAAACAACTTTAGTTTTGGGTCCCGCTGATCTCAAACAAAAATTTTTTAGTACTTTCTCCATATTCTATGGTATAGTGGGAAAAGTACAAATTTAAATTTTGTCAACACTAATTTCAAATTTTATCAATACTTGTTAGAGATAGGACAAAAGTTATGAGCACTAAAATTATGTATTTTTGTGTCTTCTTCAACTTTCGTCCTAACAATATTTCTGTATTTCACATGAATATTTAGCATAGTGACCGTTTTCAACGGTTAGTGAAACATGGTCTAAAGGGTTAAAATAGGTCGCCATTTTCCAAAATTGTGGCTGTATCACAGCATGAATGTTAATTTTTGATATGTTGTTACTGGGTGCTAGGCCTACACATATGCAACGTTTTCCCATTTGGGGAATTAATTCCACCTAATACCCTAATATAACTGGGCTACAGGTTACATTGAAAGTTAGTATTACAAATACTTGGAGGTACAAAAATACCTCAAAACACTTGTAATAATATATTTACTACACTTAATACCGTTTTCTCACATTCAGTGGTGATCTTACCATCTTTTATAATATGTATTTACAATTTTGTGAGTAAACAGTATAAGTGTAAATATATTATTACAAGTTTTATTTGATGTATTTTTGTACTTTCAAGTAATTAAATAACACATACCAACTATGCTGATCAAGAAGTTATTTATTACAAATACCAACATAAAATGGGTACTCCAGCGAATATGCATGATGACTTTTGGATACTGAAGAAGGCAAACATCCCATCATTTAGTTTTTTTTTTCCAAAAACAGTTATAAGTGACTAAGCTACTCACCGAGTGTGCTAATATGTTTTCTCCCTTATCTTTTATTGAGATAGATGGGGAGACACGATGTTTACCTATAAGGTTGGCATTTTCAACAGACATCTATAATTGACATCAACATACACTATCAGTGGTTCAATTTAGCTATACTAATTTTATCCTATAACTGACTTCAAAATTAACTTAGATGAAATATAATTTTCCTCACTGAACAAAAATATTTAACTTGGGAATTAGTTTTGCAACATGTAGTATAGTAATGGTTGAGTATGGTTGGTCCATCTCGTGTATTTTATAAACTATTCAAAAACTATTTATTCACCAACCTTTGTTGATAAATTTGCTCGCATTTCCCTACAAATCATATGAACTGTTATTTATTTATTGTTTGGTTAACATTTTAGTTACATCACAGTAATCGGGGTAAATATGGTTCGTTAATATTATTTTAAATTAATTTATTTTATAATGTAAGTTTTAAAACAATTATTGATGTTGTAAAACAGGGTATTTAAACAGATTTGTGTTAAGGAACTTATGATTTTTTAATTTAACTAAAAGTATATTTTTGATTTGCTTAAGAATTCTTTCACCTGTATGCCGTAGTACCATTGATTCATTTGTAAGTTCGACGATGCCATCTCATAATTTTTTTGCATAGTTTTAAACAATTGTGATTTATTGATAGTTTTCAGTCAAATAATTTAAACTTAAATCTGTATATTTACAGGAGCCAAAAAGTCCCCTTACACAATGTTGCAGTACGTAGTTCACTACTGTTATAAACACCACTGATCAGCAAATAGTCATAAGTGCGAGTAGTAACGGTGGAGAGAATGAAGCCACCCTCCCTTCCCTGACCACCGCCTCGGCCATAGAATACCAATTTAATTGATCTTTAGTGTAATGGGACTTTTCGGCCACCCTGTAAATAGTGTGATTAATTTTACTGTAAAACACTAAATGTCTACAAAAAAATTATAAAATGCTATAACCTATTTGATCTCCCCCTGTAAAATAAAGTAGGCACTCTTTTACCCAACATTCAATGAACCGGCTCTTTCACACCTTGACTGGTGCCTTACTCGACTTCTCTTCTCTTAATCTTATTTTTGTTACTTTACAGTGTTAAATTTTATTTTTTTTACTTGCTTTCAGTGATATTGTCAAAAAAAGTTAGATTATACAAATGAATCACACAAAATTGCCACAGCACTAATTGTGGTATCTACTGAATATATCTTAAAATGCTTCTTGGTCTATAAGATCAAACAATCTAGTCTACATGGGTTAAACTGTTTAAATAGATATGGTATTAGTCATTAATAATAGAGCTACACAAGTCATCCCACTCCATTATTTACACACCATATTACGCTTAAAATACACTCAAAGTGTGTTGCTATTGTTGTTAAGTGAATTTATGTGTTTCAAATATCTACATGGATTAGGTTCTTGAAAAAGAACTTCGATAATCAATAATATGTATGACATTTTTAGTCAGCCATCATTAAAAATAACATAAATAATTTATATGTAAGATTTCGGTGTATTCAACATAAACTATAAATTAATTAAATAGAATACAATAAGTTCAGAAAAAAAACTCCCTTCACAGAGTTTAATTAAAGGCCCTGAGCCATTGACCTCACATGTATTAGCCTACTTCTTGTTATCCGACCCTGAAAAGAATCCCTTGGCAAGCTCTACATTTGAACCATACACTTGCCTACAAGGTATAAACACCCCCCCCCTCCAAAAACACTAATAAAATAAAATGTGTTTCCTAACAAGGGAAAATACACAGTAGGGGAGGGTGGGCCACAATGGAACAAAAATTACAAAACAATTTTTGGTTTTTCACCTGTTTGGTTAACAGCTTCAGAAGATAAATGTACTTAAAGAACAACCTTTCCTGCATACATTACATATATTTTTAAATTGATAATCAAATAGTAACTGATTTTTATGGACTGTTTTAAAAAACCTTACTCGGTGTTCCACTGTGGCCCAATATAGGGCCACAGTGGAACAATGAATTAAAATGCAAAAATACAGTAAAATAAATGTTGTTTATTCACCACAAATATTACACATGCAAGAACTAACATTTTCAAATGCTTTTACTCGTAATTAGTTCCCAGTGCGCAAGTCAAAATTCACTTTCTTCCTCTTAACATATTGATGTCTAAAAAAACAGCTAGTCAAGACTTTGCCTATTGATAAATTTCCAAAAAAGGATATTTTAATGGAAAACCCCTATAGTTGGGTCTCGAACTAATAAATTAATACCATATAATAGATAATATTTTTTGTTACAATAAAATACATGCTATTGGGTGACAGTGGAACAGTTCCATTGTGGCCCGGCATCAACTGTTTCATTGTGGCCCATGTCTCTTTGATAAGAAAAACTAACCCTAATTCCACTTCAGAACTTTGTACAAATATGCTAACCAGTCTAAAAGTTTTAGAAAGTGTTGTTCTTTAAACTGGTATGTGACACTTATCTCAAATAACTTCAAATACAAGTTAAAGTTGTGAAGAAACAACCTGGAAAAGTTACTTCAAGATGTCAAAAACAAAATATGAATAATATCTCTTCCTTACATGGAGGCAGCCATTTGCACCAATGAACTAAGGGTGAACAAACAGTTTTGGAGTTCACTCACAGAGTGCAGCAGTTGGCAGACTAGACAAATAAAAAAAAATATAGTTGTTCCACTGTGGCCCACCCTCCCCTACCGTAGACTTATTAAACAAATTTCAATCTACGGGTGAGGCAGACCCTGTACACATACTTTTACAGGACACGTTTTCACCTAGAAACGTGAAATAAAATTATTCCCCCCTAAATCACATTTAAAAAATCCATTTAAAATCAAGTACTTAGAACATGGTCCAAGCACAGGGTGTTCCAGAAACGAAGGTCAGTTCTATTTTCACCGAAATGTTGTTCCAAGCAAGACCTTTCTAAAAAAGAACAATGGGATATTGGTTGACATAAGGAAATTTTGAGATTTGAACACGTGACCTTTATTTCTGGATAACCCTGTGCTTGGATCTTGTTCTAAGTATTTTAATTGGATTCTTCGTATGTGATTTAGGGAGGAATAATTTTATTTTATGTTTCTTGCTGAAAACTTGAAGTTCATGTTAAGTAACCATAGAATGATGTTCATTTTATTATTGTTACCTGTACAGAGGTAGTACTCAAATGTACCCTTGTTGTTGAATGTTAAAGAGTAGAATAATGTTGATTGTTTTGTTACCTGTTTTTTAATGACCATTTACAAGTTTGCTTTGAATAATTTTCATAAATAAACTGATCAATGTGAAAATGTTAGTTTTCTACACCTTTTCTGATTTGTAATTTAATTATTGTTATTCATAATTTACTTAACACACTGAAAAGCAACATACAAATTTTAACACAAGGCACACAGTAGAGTTGTTTAATGTAGGTTTTATTAGGTTTAATCGTAATGTTATTTTCTTCTGATCATCTTTGCTAAGATCTAAGATTATTATCAAGACGTATATCCCATAAGTCAACTACAAGTAATAAAAAGCCAAGTACAAGCAAAGTAGCATCAGATCCTGAAATCCAATAAGGTTTTCTCACTCCTGGGGTCCTATTTTTAAAATGGTTGAGAGTTGAGTCAATCATCAACACTCAACTCAACCAACAACAGGATTTGGTATATTTGAAATCCAACAGTTGAGAAGTGAGTTGGTAGTCACTAGTTGAGTGACTTGTTTGAAAATGAAAGCGGCAACACAGCTTGAAATACAGATGACATCTTTTTGAACCAATCACAGTGCAGAGAGACTTGCGAGCTTCGATCTAACCTCTCAATCTAAATGCTGGATCCTTTTTCAGCTAATCTCAATCTGCAATATTTCGAGACACTGAGGTAAACTGTCAGCTCCATCCGTGAGCGATTTGGAGATTGAGGTCTTAATCTTAGTGATTGATTGAAAAAGTACCTTTGTTTAAGTATTTGAAACAAAATTGACTATGGTGGCTTGATTTAGGCTATAGCTCATTATAGGTTTTCCCGTGACAAATTATTTGCTTTCTTTGTCTCTATTTAAGAAAAAATCACATTATTTTCGTTCACTTCATCGTTTTGTTTCATGTTATTTTTAATTGTGTTAGTGTTTGTTCAAGCTTTAATGGATATTTGCCGTTGAACTGAAAGCATACAAGGCCGTAGCCAGGACAAACTTTAGGGGGGGGGGGTCAGGCCAGTGGTGGTTCTAGGACTTTGTCAAGAAGCCCGGGGGGTGTGGAACACCCCCCAATATAAGAGGGGGGTCTGGTAAAATTTTTTTATATTTTTAAAGTAGTTTAGTGACTTTCTAAAGCAATCTTTAACGCCTAAAACTGTCTTCAATCGTAAAAAAAAACTCCCATTTAACCTATTGTTTGTCATAAGCAAGTAGACATTTACAAATTTAAACTGTGAGGATTGCATTCATAAATTTCTAACCACAACTGTAGGCTACGGCTATATCCTCCTAAAAACAGTTTGGTACTACTCCCTTGGAACCGCCATTAGGCAGGTCATGACTGTGGATAACAGATTTAAGCACTTTCAAACACCAATTCCCATGCTACCTTAAAATATAACAGGATGATAAATCTGTTTTGTTTGAGTATTTTTGTTGAACCTTCGTAGTTTTATTACTTCTTTAATAGATCAGATTTATTAATATAATTATGATATGAAATATGAATAGTTACTGCAAAACATAATAAAACATAAAATATAATCCTCTGTTGTGGGTTCTATTTTATAATTTAACTTGCACTTTTTAAACCTAGTGTTAATTTTTACTACTAAATTCGGGGGCCCCCAGGGGGGGGTTGACCCCCTAACCCCCTGGCTACGGCTTTAAAAGCATATACCGTAGCTTAAAAAAGTCCACTCAACAGCTCAATAGGGGGCGAGTAGTTTTGGTTGGATAAGTTAACTGTCAATCTATTGGAAATACCCCCGCTGCAGCAAACCTGCCGACTAAGCAAATTTCCATTTGCCTGGATTGATTTTCAATTAATCTATTAAATTAACATTTATGTTTAACGAGTACCTAGGTTAGCTGCTACAAGGAAACTAATAACAAGTGTTTTTTATTAAAATATCAATAACTTAGTATGAAATAAATGAATCCACCAAGTTTGATCAAAATATATTCATAAACAAGCCAACTACAACATTTTACACTATTCTCCATAAGTATAACATGGGTATAACCATTTTTTGAATTTTCTCCGTAACCATTCACCGTACAAAAACACTTTGATATACTAAATTATTTGTTTTTTAAGCTCTTTAAAAAGGTCTGGAGAAAAATTTATAAATTTTGTGTTTTAAGGGTAAAAAATGAGAAAACCCCATTTTTACCCCATTAAAAAAACCCCGTATTCATAGTCCGATCATGCTGGTTCGCGAACTCATTCAATTTTATCCCGCCTTACACCTTCAAACCAAATTTTATCAAAATCTGACAAAAATTACTCAAGTTATCGTCCGGACGGACACACACGCACACACACATATATATATCTAATATATAAAATTCTCGTGTCACAGTGTTTGTCTGCAAACTCCTCCGGAACGACTTCACGGATCGTTATGAAATTTGGTGTGTAAATTCTGTAGGTATGCGAATCGGACGTAAACTATTTCCCGTTTCGAAATTCTTAAAAGGGCTCCGCCCCAGTGGCTCTGGAGTTTCCCATGTTAACCTTATGAGAAATGGAATTAATGAATCTTAACAGCTGTTTCAATTAAACAAGTTGGTTCTGTTCTATGATGTTCAATAGCATTAAAGTTACAAGGATTACCAACAGGGTGCAGCACTATTATTTCTTTTACATTTATGACAACAGCTAATTTGCAACCAAAAGGTGAGTGAGCGTAGCGAACGAACTTCAACCTGGAGGCGAGTGAGCGTAGCGAACGAGCTAACCTGAAGGCAAGTGAGCGCAGCGAACGAGCTCCAACCTAAAGGTGAGTGAGCGTAGCGAACGAGCTCCAACCCAAAGGTGAGTGAGCGTAGCGAACGAACTTCAACCAGGATGTGATTGAGCGATGCGAACGAGATCATCTTGAAAATTAAACGTAACGGTACTTTCTTTCCATCGGTCTGTCTTAGGGGAAACCTATAACTTAGGCGATACGAAGTTCGCCGGGTCAGCTAGTACATATATATAAATTTGAACGAATGGTGTTTTTGGCCTCTGGGGACATCAAAATGAAAAAGTAAATCGGTCCCGGGCCGCTAGGTCTTACCATGAGAACTATGGTAATAGCTACCTACTTCCCTATAGGGAAATTCGCTAATACGAAACGATAGGAATGTAAGTGACTCAACAGTCAACCATTTCAAAAATAGGGCCCCTGGAAATTTGTGAGGTTAACATCAATAACTCAATTTGTATAAGAATGTCTACATTGGGCGTTTTCACACTACACAGCACGTCGCCAGCACTGCAACAGCAACAGCACGGCAACGGCAGGGGTGCTTACACACTTGACAGCAACGACACGTTAAGAGCACAGCATTTTTACTGCAGTCAGCTATTAGATTTGGTGGAAGCAACATGGCTGATTATAATCGAAGATTATATTTATTATATTTGTTGTACTTAAGACGTAAGCGTCGGTCAGAAAGAAAGTGGTGGGTTCACACTGTTTTGAAAGTGCGGTATGTTGATGGATAACTACAATTTATTTGAGAAGTTAGTTTGTGATCCAAAGAAATTTTTCAATTTCTTTCGTATGAGTAAACCAACATTTGATTATTTACTGACAAACAGCATGCACCTTGTACTCAGGCCAGGGCTGTGATGTACTGTACTGACTGACACTGGAGACTACTGACAGACGGTGACTGCACGGCAACAGCGACGTCGGGGGGCCAGCAGCTCGCCGGCATGTCCCGTCGCGACGCCAGCACGTCACCGTCACAGCACCAGTGTTTAAGCTTTCATATGATAACATTACCGACGTCGACGGGCCAGCGCTGTGCTGGCGACGTGCTGTTGACGTGCTGTGTAGTGTGAAAACGCTCATTCGGTACGCATTTTTTATTTTTTTATTATAGGTATCTCGAAAACTATCAAATTTTTTTATACTATACTAAATTATAAAATTGAAGAAGATTAAATTTTCTACAAGAAAAGTACATACTGTGTTTATTTTTCTTAAACAGATTACGAGTTATTACTTATTTAATCAATATCTATTACAATACTCCTTTCATAAGAAATACATGTAAATTAGTATGCAAAATGGGGCAAATCCTATCCGCCCAAAGGAAATATAACCGATATTCTGGAAATCTTGACAAAATTTCCAGTAATTTGACACATAAATCATAAAAATTCATCCAAAATTAAGGCGAGGGTGAGGTAATAAAAATTTTGTGTTTTGTTGTTTTTTTATTAAGAATGATAAAAAAAAACCCTCAAATCATCCCGTTTTTAACGCTCATAGTCCGGTAATTAAAGAGAAATATATAGCGGAGGTTCAACAAAATTAATTCAAAAGGTTTTTCAACGGATTTCATTAGTTTTATACCTCCTCACAACACAAAAAAAAGTCTACCAAAATCTGACTTGGGGAAGTACCTGAATAATGGTATTTAAATTAAAATAATAATCGCTCCGTAAAAAAAACAGATAAAAATATTATTGCTATATATAGGTTTTAGTATATCGTTTTTAATGTTTTGAAGGGTGGGGAAACTAAATATGCAACTTAAAATGTGATTTGACGTCATTTTACACCGCAAAATGGCCGCCAAAATCGATTCATGGGGAAAAAACTAAAATAAAACTTACTTCTAGATAATAGTGTGCAGTATATCGAATTCAATGTTCACAAGGGTGGCAAAACCAAATATACAACTTAAAATATGATTGTATCTAATTTAAAAGCATAAGATGGAAGTCACCAAAATACTCTCCATGGAGGAAAGTTGAAAAACTTACCTTTAGAAATAAATAACTTCTTGATCAGCATAGTACGTATTATTAAATTTATAAAAAGTAAATAAAAGAAGCGTCTTTAGAAATAGCCTATCTTTAGAACTAGGTTTTAGTTTTCGATCTTAGCTTTTATAAAATACCAGTAAACTAACATGCAACTTAAAATGAGATTTCACATTATGAGACAGTAAGACGGGGTACCGGGGCACATGGATTATTTTTACATAGGATACTGTATTAAAATAACGGTATAATAGTGAAGAAATAAATCGATTTCAATGAACACACTTTTTAATACAAATACAGCCGACAATTCATACTGCTAATAATATACTGTTA